CATTCTATTGTTAAGAAAAAGAATGCTCAAAACTCTATTGCCTCCTTGAGATTGGAAGATGGGAGTCTTACCAAGTCCTTGGATCAGGTAGCAAACGAGTTCATTGACTTCTTCAAAGGTTTATTTGGTACTCATTTTCCTATGCATGATTATGACCCGGGGGTTATCTCCACTGGTTGCACCATTGACCAGACTCTTTCTTATGACCTTATTAGCCCTGTGACTGATAAGGAAATAAAGGAGGCTGTTTTTGACATTGGAAATGACAAGGCCCCCGGCCCTGATGGCTTTTCCTCAGCTTTTTTCAAGAATAATTGGAATTTAGTGGGCAAAGATGTGTGTGGGGCTGTGAGGGAATTTTTTGTCTCAGGGAAGATGCTTAAGCAGGTCAATCATACTGTTGTGTCCCTTATCCCTAAGACAAACCATTCCCCCATGGTGTCTGATTTTAGGCCAATTTCTTGCACAAATGTCACTTATAAGGTTATTACTAAGATCTTATCTGCGCGGTTAGGGCCGTGTCTTGCTAGTATTATTAACCCAGCACAGGGAGCTTTTGTTGATGGAAGGTTGATGTCTGACAACATCTTCCTGGCACAAGAGTTAGTGAGGGGTTACACTAGGAAAAGGCCTTCTCCTAGATGTATGATTAAAATAGATCTTAGGAAAGCCTATGATACAGTTTCATGGGATTTTCTTGGTAAAGTCCTTTTTGATTTTGGTCTTCCAGTTTTGTTTGTTAAATGGATCATGGAGTGTGTCACAACCTCTTCCTTCTCTATCTCCATTAATGGTGCCCTTCATGGCTGGTTTGAGGGGAAGAGAGGACTTAGACAGGGTGATCCTATGTCCCCTTTGCTTTTTGTGATTTGCTTAGAGTACTTTTCGAGGCTAATGGAGATTAGGACCTCGGTTCCTAGTTTCCGTTATCATCCTTTGTGCTCCAAGCTTAAGATTACACACCTTGCATATGCAGATGATTTGATGATTTTCTCTAAGGCGTGTTATCCTTCTATTAAAATTTTAGTAGATACTCTATCTGAATTTGGACGTGTTTCAGGCCTCATGGTGAACTTAGATAAATCAAACATTTTCTTAGGGGGTAACGTGGAGAGTAGAGTACCCTATATTTTAGAAAGAGTAGGTTTTCAACTTGGCTCTTTTCCTGTCAGATATTTGGGTATCCCCCTTGCACCTTTAAACATATCTGTAGCTCAATTCGCTCCTTTGATTGATAAAGTTACAGATTACCTAAATGCTTGGAACCCGAAGACTCTTTCTTATGCAGGGAAAATTGAATTAATCACATCGGTTATGCAAGGAGTACAAGCTTTTTGGCTTGGGATTTTTCCTATGCCGAGGGCAATCATTGACAAAATAACTTCTCTTTGTAGGTTATTTCTTTGGGGAAGTAAGCACTCTAAAGTTGCTTGGTGTGATGTGTGTCTACCTAAGAGTGAGGGAGGTTTGGGGGTAAGAGATACTAAGGTATGGAATAATGCCTTACTATCTCGTACACTTTGGAACATCCATGCTAAAAAAGACTCCCTATGGGTGAAGTGGGTCCACGGAGTCTACCTCCATGGGAGGTGTGTGTGGACCTTTGTTCCACACACGAAGGACTCGAGGCTTATGAAGGCGTTAGCTAATGTACGTGATTTGATTTTATCTAAATTCCCTTCTTTAGGGATGGCCGTGAATTTCTTAGAGAAGAGTTCCCTTCTTGGGAAGCTCTCTTCCTCTAAGGTTTATGAATTACTCCGAACCAAAGGGACCGCCCATCCATGGATGTCATTTATTTGGAAAAGCTACATTCCCCCCAAGTTCTCGTTCATTACTTGGCTAGCCTTCCGGGGTCGGTTAGCCACATATGACAGCTTGGGGTTTTTAGATATCAATGATGCTTGTCCTTTTTGTAAGGGTGGCCCGGAAACGGTGCCACACCTATATTTCGAATGTACTTTTACAGGACAGGTTTGGACCTTGGTGAAGAACTGGCTTGGAATTTCAAGGAGGATGAGCACATTGCTGAGTACAGCTAAATGGATAAAGAAAGAGCACAATGGAGCCCACGCTAAGGCCAAAGGAGTTAGACTTGCTTTTTGCTATACCGTATATTGGATATGGCGTACAAGGAACATGATTTGCTTTGAGAAGATCAAACCTAAGGTGGAGGATTTGGTGAAGAATATTAAGTTCATGGTGTACAAAATTCTCTATGCTATGTATCCGTTTGATAGGATAACATTCTAAGTTTTGCCTTTTTTGCTAATTCGTCACCGGTTTTTTTGTGATTGCTAGCATGTATATGTAGCTAGATGAGGTTTTGCAAGGTGATAGGGTATCCTGTCCTGGGATGACCTTGTTTTTGATGTTTTGGTACTGTACAGTTGTACATAAACTCTTTGGATATATATATATTTACATTTTATCCAAAAAAAAAAAAAATAGAACTCGATAATATCTTTCCAACGAGATATTAAACGCTTTCAATGGCACAAAATAGAGCAAGATATGATCGCATCAAATTCTACACCAGTTCGGAGTAATATCAGAAACATTTATCAATATATGGTTAATCTGTAACTTTTAATTAATGCATTGTAAATTAAGTTGGAACAATAGCTTTAGAGCTCCGATCTATCTTTCCAACGAGATATAATACGCTCCAAACGAATAAACACACAGCAAGATATGAGTGTCACCAATACTTAGCCTTATCTCTCTGATTTAGCGTTTACAGCGAAAATAGAGCATTTTTAGCGTAAATACAGTGTATTTTAGTAATTAGGAAATCATCCCTTGATATTTTAAAACCGGCGCCTGAAGACAAGTTTTAGAACTCGGTAAGATCTTTCCAACGAGATATTAAACGCTTTCAACGGCACAAAATAGAGCAAGATATGATCGCATCGAATTCTACACGAGTTCGGAGTGAAATCCGAAACATTTGTGAATATATGGTTAATCTGTCACTTTTAATTAATGCATTGTAAATGAAGTTGGAACAATAGCTTTAGAGCTCCGATCTATCTTTCCCAAGAGATATAATACGCTACAAACGGATAAACACACAGCAAGATATGAGTGTCACAAATAATTAGCCTTATCTCTATGATTTAGCGTTTTCAGCGAAAATAGAGCACTTTTAGCGTAAATACAGTGTATTTTAGTAATTTGGCAATCATCCCTTTATATTTTGAAACCAGCGCCTGAAGACAAGTTTTCGAACTCGGTAAGATGTTTCCAACGAGATATAAAACGCTTTCAACGGCACAAAATAGAGCAAGATATGATCGCATCAAATTCTACACGAGTTCGGAGTGAAATCAGAAACATTTGTGAATGTATGGTTAATCTGTAACTTTTAATTAATGCATTCTAAATGAAGTTGGAACAATAGCTTTAGAGCTCCGATCTATCTTTCCAACGAGATGTAATACGCTCCAAACGGATAAACAACCAGCAAGATATGAGTGTCACAAATACTTAGCCTTATCTCTATGATTTAGCGTTTTCAGCGAAAATAGAGCACTTTTAGCGTAAATACTGTGTATTTTAGTAATTAGGAAATCATCCCTTGATATTTTGAAACCAGCGCCTAAAGACATGTTTTAGAACTCGATAATAGCTTTCCAACGAGATATTAAACGCTTTCAACGGCACAAAATAGACCAAGATATGAATGCATCAAATTTTACACCAGTTCGGAGTGAAATCAGAAACATTTGTCAATATATGGTTAATCTGTAACTTTTAATTAATGCATTGTACATTAAGTTGGAACAATAGCTTTAGAGCTCCGATCTATCTTTCCAACGAGATGCAATACGCTCCAAACGGATAAACACACAGCAAGATATGAGTGTCACCAATACTTAGCCTTATCTCTATGATTTAGCGTTTTCAGCGAAAATAGAGCACTTTTAGCGTAGATACAGTGTATTTTAGTAATTTGGCAATCATCCCTTTATATTTTGAAACCAGCGCCTGAAGACAAGTTTTCGAACTCGGTAAGATGTTTCCAACGAGATATAAAACGCTTTCAACGGCACAAAATAGAGCAAGATATGATTGCATCAAATTCTACACGAGTTCAGAGTGAAATCAGAAACATTTGTGAATGTATGGTTAATCTGTAACTTTTAATTAATGCATTCTAAAAGAAGTTGGAACAATAGCTTTAGAGCTCCGATCTATCTTTCCAACGAGATGTAATACGCTCCAAACGGATAAACAACCAGCAAGATATGAGTGTCACAAATACTTAGCCTTATCTCTATGATTTAGCGTTTTCAGCGAAAATAGAGCACTTTTAGCGTAAATACTGTGTATTTTAGTAATTAGGAAATCATCCCTTGATATTTTGAAACCAGCTCCTAAAGACATGTTTTAGAACTCGATAATAGCTTTCCAACGAGATATTAAACGCTTTCAACGGCACAAAATAGACCAAGATATGAATGCATCAAATTTTACACCAGTTCGGAGTGAAATCAGAAACATTTGTCAATATATGGTTAATCTGTAACTTTTAATTAATGCATTGTACATTAAGTTGGAACAATAGCTTTAGAGCTCCGATCTATCTTTCCAACGAGATGCAATACGCTCCAAACGGATAAACACACAGCAAGATATGAGTGTCACCAATACTTAGCCTTATCTCTATGATTTAGCGTTTTCAGCGAAAATAGAGCACTTTTAGCTTAAATTCAGTGTATTTTAGTAATTAAGCAATCATCCCTTGATATTTTGAAACCAGCGCCAGAAGACAAGTTTTAGAACTAGGTAAGATTAGCGCCTGACGAGAGAGGAAGTTGAGAGCGTCTCTCTCTAGCCATCCGAGGCTAGACTCTTCCCTCCGCGGTTTCTCCCTGGTCGGCACCACCTTTCACGGTGGCCGCCGCCGCCGGAGCCCACCTGGCTCCGGCGGTCTTAAGGTATTATGGTTACAAATATTTGGAAAACTGGTTTTAGACCACCTCGGTGGTTCTGGAAGCTTGTTGGCCGGACTTCGCCGGAAATTATGGAGGACTTTTGACTATTGGGTTTCGTAGTTTGGGACGTCAGATAGGCTGAACTGCTGGTGGCCTGGGGATGAAAACTCGCCGGAAAAAACTGAGCTGCCATACCAACAGTCAGTAACGCCGGATGCCTCACTCTTGGAGGGGTCGAAGCAGTTTGGGTGAGCGACGGAGGTGAACGGGTTGGCCATGGTAGCTTGGTGCTGGAAGGTTTGGGGATTTGGCCTTTGGTCCCGCACAGGTTCGTTGACGTTGACTCCTTACTCGGAGTGTCTTGGCCGGCGTACTGGGTTGTGAGCAAGCCTGAGTTTGTAGCAGAGATGGCCAGAAGGGGTCTGGTAGTTCCTTGACTACTGGTTTATACTTCAGGGGAGGACCGTTGTGTTCCGCCGTCATCTTCCCCCTTTTCACTTCACAACCAGGGCGAAAGCTCTCCGGCGGTTGCAGCACCATCGTCTTCGGACCGGACGCCGGAATGGTTGGGGATTTTCTAAATGCTGGGGATGAGTGGATGGGGACGCTCGTCTATGGCACTTCAGACTCCCAGAGTGCTAAGGTACTTGCTTGTTCTCCTGCTGCTTCTGAGAACTCGCAGGTCTCATTTTGTTTCAAGGGTGGTGGTGTTTGTTTGTGGCAGCCTGGGTGAGGGGTTCCCGGCGCAGGGCTTGGATGCGGCCACCACTCATAACTGCTTCGTTACGGATTCCGAGCTTGGCCAAGGCTGGGGATTTGGAGTTCGCAATCACCGACGGTTTTTCCTCCTGAAAACTCGTAATTTTACTCCGGTATGATCGAGTTCGTTAACCTTTCTGGCCGTGGATGTTACTAAACTAAGGTAAGCTTGCTATTTTTGTTATTCCGCGCCTGGTTAGTCCGACGCTGGGGTTAGGGTCCCTATTTGTGCGTTTCATCGTTTGGTTTGAAATTGACCTGGATAAACTTGGCCGGAGAAGACGACCGGGGAGACTGGTGCGATTACAGTGCTTCTTGTTGGGTTTCTTTGGTTTGAACCTGTTTGCGCACTTCGTTCTTTTTCTGAAAGTGACCAGGAATCGTCGGGGTTAAACTCCGGCTTGCTGGAGTTTGGAACCGCCTGTAACTACCTGCTTCCGGCTATTGTCAAGCCACCTTCTGACGCCTTCTGCCTTCGCCGTTTGGGGTCGCCGGAGTCAAACGGGGGTGGAGGGTGGAGGGGGGAACACCGGGTTGGCTTTGTTACGTCTCCGTCTGGATACTTTGGTAGTGCCTCCGTTCTCCGGACACCGGAAAACCTGGTAGGGGACGGTACCAGGTGGGGGGTTTCGGGGGGGGGGGGGGGGGGTAGAGTGTTGACCGTTGCAGGTTCACTGACTGGTCAGTCTGTCCGCTGACTGACGTGTACGGCGTGCGGCACTGGTTGGTTTTGGCGCCCTGCTTGCTGAGGCGTTCCTGATGCGATGGAACATGGGCCGTTGCCCTAATCCTTGATGGGCCGCTGGTCTGGTGACTCTGCTAGGAAGTTTTTGGGCCCTGGGATGGACCAGGTGCCCCTTTTTGCTGGAACTGGACATTAAGAGCTGAAGGTTGGATGCTACCAGGGATGGGCCTTTGTTGGTTCAAATGTGGTTTTGATTTCTATTTTGATACTAAGCCGGGGAATTGTCCCGAGCTAGTTTGGATTTATTTTTGTGTCACGTGCCGGGGTCTGTCCTGTGCCATTTTGATTAAAATCTCTCTCTCCCCCCTCTACCGAGAGGTAGGGGGGGGGGGGGGGGGCGGATACGTTAGATACTATATTAGGTTAGCATGCTAGCTTAGATAGTTCTTTTGATTTTTTTGACGCATTGTATTATGCTTTTTTTTTCCTGGATATATATACTTACATTTTATCCAAAAAAATAGAACTAGGTAAGATCTTTCCAACTAGATATCAAACGCTTTCAACGGCACAAAATAGAGCAAGATATGATCGCATCAAATTCTACACGAGTTCGGAGTGAAATCAGAAACATTTGTGAATATATGGTTAATCTGTAACTTTTAATTAATGCATTGTAAATGAAGTTGGAACAATAGCTTTAGAGCTCCGATCTATCTTTCCCACGAGATATAATACGCTACAAAGGGATAAACACACAGCAAGATATGAGTGTCACAAATAATTAGCCTTATCTCTATGATTTAGCGTTTTCAGCGAAAATAGAGCACTTTTAGCGTAAATACAGTGTATTTTAGTAATTTGGAAATCATGCCTTTATATTTTGAAACCAGAGCCTGTATACAAGTTTTAGAACTCGGTAAGATGCTTCCAACTAGATATAAAACGCTTTCAACGGCACAAAATAGAGCAAGATATGATCGCATCAAATTCTACACGAGTTCAAAGTGAAATCAGAAACATTTGTGAATATATGGTTAATCTGTAACTTTTAATTAATGCATTGTAAATGAACTTGGAACAATAGCTTTAGAGCTCCGATCTATCTTTCCAACGAGATGTAATACGCTCCAAACGGATAAACACACAGCAAGATATGAGTGTCACAAATACTTAGCCTTATCTCTATGATTTAGCGTTTTCAGCGAAAATAGAGCACTTTTAGCGTAAATACTGTGTATTTTAGCAATTAGGCAATCATCCCTTGATATTTTGATACCAGCTCCTGAAAACATGTTTTAGAACTCGATAATAGCTTTCCAACGAGATATTAAACGCTTTCAACGGCACAAAATAGAGCAGAATATGATCGCATCAAATTCTACACCAGTTCGGAGTGAAAACAGAAACATTTGTCAATATATGGTTACTCTGTAACTTTTAATTAATGCATTGTAAATTAAGTTGGAACAATAGCTTTAGAGCTCCGATCTATCTTTCCAACGAGATATAATACGCTCCAAACGAATAAACACACAGCAAGATATGAGTGTCACCAATACTTAGCCTTATCTCTATGATTTAGCGTTTCAGCGAAAATAGAGCACTTTTAGCGTAAATACAGTGTATTTTAGTAATTAGGCAATCATCCCTTGATATTTTAAAACCAGCGCCTGAAGACAAGTTTTAGAACTCGGTAAGATCTTTCCAACGAGATATTAAACGCTTTCAACGGCACAAAAGAGAGCAAGATAGGATCGCATCAAATTCTACACGAGTTCGGAGTGAAATCAGAAACATTTGTGAATATATGGTTAATCTATAACTTTTAATTAATGCATTGTAAATTAAGTTGGAACATTAGCTTTAGAGCTCAGATCTATCTTTCCAACGAGATATAATACGCTCTAAACGGATAAACACACAGTAAGATATGAGTGTCACAAATAATTAGCCTTATCTCTATGATTTAGCGTTTTCAGCGAAAATAGAGCACTTTTAGCGTAAATACAGTGTATTTTAGTAATTTGGCAATCATACCTTGATATTTTGAAACCAGCGCCTAAAGACAAGTTTTATAACTCGGTAAGATGTTTCCAACGAGATATAAAACGCTTTCAACGGCATAAAATAGAGCAAGGTATGATCGCATCAAATTCTACACGAGTTCGGAGTGAAATCAGAAACATTTGTGAATATATGGTTAATCTGTAACTTTTAATTAATGAATTGTAAATTAAGTTGGAACAATAGCTTTAGAGCTCCGATCTATCTTTCCCACGAGATATAATATGCTCCAAACGGATAAACACACAGCAAGATATGAGTGTCCCAAATAATTAGCCTTATCTCTATGATTTAGCGTTTTCAGCGAAAATAGAGCACTTTTAGCGTAAATACAGTGTATTTTAGTAATTTGGAAATCATCCCTTTATATTTTGAAACCAGCGCCTGAAGACATGTTTTTCGAACTCGGTAAGATGTTTCCAACGAGATATAAAACGCTTTAACCGGCACACAATAGAGCAAGATATGATCGCATCAAATTCTACACGAGTTCAGAGTGAAATCAGAAACATTTGTGAATGTATGGTTAATCTGTAACTTTTAATTAATGCATTCTAAATGAAGTTGGAACAATAGCTTTAGAGCTCCGATCTATCTTTCCAACGAGATGTAATACGCTCCAAACGGATAAACAACCAGCAAGATATGAGTGTCACAAATACTTAGCCTTATCTCTATGATTTAGCGTTTTCAGCGAAAATAGAGCACTTTTAGCGTAAATACTGTGTATTTTAGTAATTAGGAAATCATCCCTTGATATTTTGAAACCAGCGCCTAAAGACATGTTTTAGAACTCGATAATATCTTTCCAACGAGATATTAAACGCTTTCAACGGCACAAAATAGACCAAGATATGAATGCATCAAATTTTACACCAGTTCGGAGTGAAATCAGAAACATTTGTCAATATATGGTTAATCTGTAAATTTTAATTAATGCATTGTACATTAAGTTGGAACAATAGCTTTAGAGCTCCGATCTATCTTTCCAACGAGATGCAATACGCTCCAAACGGATAAACACACAGCAAGATATGAGTGTCACCAATACTTAGCCTTATCTCTATGATTTAGCGTTTTCAGCGAAAATAGAGCACTTTTAGCTTAAATTCAGTGTATTTTAGTAATTAAGCAATCATCCCTTGATATTTTGAAACCAGCGCCAGAAGACAAGTTTTAGAACTAGGTAAGATCGTTCCAACTAGATATCAAACGCTTTTAACGGCACAAAATAGAGCAAGCTATGATCGCATCAAATTCTACACGAGTTCGGAGTGAAATCAGAAACATTTGTGAATATATGGTTAATCTGTAACTTTTAATTAATGCATTGTAAATGAAGTTGGAACAATAGCTTTAGAGCTCCGATCTATCTTTCCCACGAGATATAATACGCTACAAAGGGATAAACACACAGCAAGATATGAGTGTCACAAATAATTAGCCTTATCTCTATGATTTAGCGTTTTCAGCGAAAATAGAGCACTTTTAGCGTAAATACAGTGTATTTTAGTAATTTGGAAATCATCACTTTATATTTTGAAACCAGAGCTTGTATACAAGTTTTAGAACTCGGTAAGATGCTTCCAACTAGATATAAAACGCTTTCAACGGCACAAAATAGAGCAAGATATGATCGCATCAAATTCTACACGAGTTGAAAGTGAAATCAGAAACATTTGTGAATATATGGTTAATCTATAACTTTTAATTAATGCATTGTAAATGAACTTGGAACAATAGCTTTAAAGCTCCGATCTATCTTTCCAACGAGATGTAATACGCTCCAAACGGATAAACACACAGCAAGATATGAGTGTCACAAATACTTAGCCTTATCTCTATGATTTAGCGTTTTCAGCGAAAATAGAGCACGTTTAGCGTAAATACTGTGTATTTTAGTAATTAGGCAATCATCCCTTGATATTTTGATACCAGCTCCTGAAGACATGTTTTAGAACTCGATAATAGCTTTCCAACGAGATATTAAACGCTTTCAACGGCACAAAATAGAGCAGAATATGATCGCATCAAATTCTACACCAGTTCGGAGTGAAATCAGAAACATTTGTCAATATATGGTTACTCTGTAACTTTTAATTAATGCATTGTAAATTAAGTTGGAACAATAGCTTTAGAGCTCCGATCTATCTTTCCAACGAGATATAATACGCTCCAAACGAATAAACACACAGCAAGATATGAGTGTCACCAATACTTAGCCTTATCTCTATGATTTAGCGTTTTCAGCGAAAATAGAGCACTTTTAGCGTAAATACAGTGTATTTTAGTAATTAGGCAATCATCCCTTGATATTTTAAAACCAGCGCCTGAAGACAAGTTTTAGAACTCGGTAAGATCTTTCAACCGAGATATTAAACGCTTTCAACGGCACAAAAGAGAGCAAGATAGGATCGCATCAAATTCTACACGAGTTCGGAGTGAAATCAGAAACATTTGTGAATATATGGTTAATCTATAACTTTTAATTAATGCATTGTAAATTAAGTTGGAACATTAGCTTTAGAGCTCAGATCTATCTTTCCAACGAGATATAATACGCTCCAAACGGATAAACACACAGTAAGATATGAGTGTCACAAATAATTAGCCTTATCTCTATGATTTAGCGTTTTCAGCGAAAATAGAGCACTTTTAGCGTAAATACAGTGTATTTTAGTAATTTGGCAATCATACCTTGATATTTTGAAACCAGCGCCTAAAGACAAGTTTTAGAACTCGGTAAGATGTTTTTAACGAGATATAAAA